TTACTTGGTCTAAGTCATAGCTGGTTGGGATCTAACACCAACCCTACTAAAACAGCACACCACACAGGGTGCAAGTGGAATAAAGCTGGAATTTCTTTAGAAGATCATCGCATCTTGGTTCTACAGTTTTTGAGCCTATCACTCCAGAAGAGGGTTACCTGTGCACAAAATGTGGATTACAAGGACGCATGATAGGGGTGAGCGGCGCTTTGTGTTTCTAGCTTTCTAAACTTTAAGAACCCATTGCACTTAATGAAGTAATATATACAACTCACCTCCTTATTTACGTTATATTCATGTATTAGTTATTATAAATAGACTTAGGGATGGTCATATATGCCAATTACAAATGCAGGCCCTGCTTCCTGGTTGCGTTTTGCTGATTTCTCACCTCACTGCACGTCTACAAGACAGTGTCTGTCTAACTGAAAACAGGAAACCCTTAGCAGCATCAAGGACATAAATCAGCCACAACGCTTCTGCTTGGAAAAAGACCCTGTAATGTTTGTCTAGGCCTTAGGTCAGTTAGAAAAACTAAGTAGTAGTAGTTTTTTTAAATCACTGCAATATATAAATGTGATTTGGTGATCATCTGACAAAATGTGATCTGGAAATGCCTGTATGTGCCCTATTCATTCATGTAAAGTGTGAACATTAATGAATAATAAGGTGCACTTTAACATCCTCGCCCTCTTTTAAAGGACAAGTTCATCTAGAGCTGTAGTTAGAAAAACAAACAAATTCACATAACCAGTAACAGAATTTGTTTTTCTAAACCTAACTAGATGCCTCCTTAAAGTGCAAGAAACCCACAACAATGAACTTCTTTTAATTGCTCCCTTTTGGCCTGTTATATATAACATTGAACGTGTTTTCCACTCACCACTCAAAAATGCTGGGTGTGATCAGCTTACAACAGGATTTAGGAGAGGCTTTTTATTCTTTGCATACCTTGTTTTTCTTTTCCTCTCCGTTCTTCAGACAGTGGCCATTTTTACTAAGGGCAGATGGATCCATCTCCCTTTACTTACTGGAACTCTGGCTCATGTGACTAGGACATGTGACCATGCATATCATCTCAGGGGAGGAAAATGCCTTTCCCAGACATCTTGTAAGGTTACAGATGAGATTTCCCAGCAATGCTCTGCTGATGTAACCTTCCCAGGATGCAGCACTTGGGAACATTACATCACTTTTGCCAAAGAGAACCAGGCAGTAAAAAAACAAGACATTGGAAGTAAAATGAAAATATGTTTTACTAATGAATGTTGTATGATTTCATATCAGCATGCAGAGCTGCATGCTGATGCGATTTTTAGCCAAAGGGGGTAAAAGTCCACTTAAGAACTCCACCACCAGCAGTTTAGACACACGCATTCCTATTCTTATATACTTTGTAAATGTAATCTATTGTAGCACATTTTGCAAAGTGCAAAGATGAATACTATGCTCACAGCCTCCTAACATTTTATGAACCAGTCTAAGAAAGCACTAATACAGCTGTGATAAAAAATGAAACCATTTGGTTTTGCATATTATAGACCACATCATGAACGTCTTTTCATGCTCTCCGGCTTTCACAATACAAGTCACTGACAACATGTTCCATCAGCTTTATGGGTCACCAGAAAACAGGAAATACAAAACTGTAACAACCTTATGGGCTTGTTCACACTGTATATGGTGAGAAACTAAACAACGCAGTGTTGTACCGCAGGTCACTTCACTTGTGTGCGGGGGGCCTGTATGGAGAGTACCGTTTGTATACTCCAAATAAAGTTTAAAAAAAAAATAAAAAATATCAAACCACCTGAGTATTTTAGCGGGCGGCCTAGTGTGAACAGTCTTACTCTTTGACCTGCTGTTCTGTCATTAGGGTGTACAGAATACCTATATGCGGTAGTATTGACGGGCTAAAAAAATATGAGCCATCAAAATTATTAACATAATAATGGAGTTTTGTACTTTGACTGTAAATTTAGATTCCTCGTCACTCTGTTCTGGCTGAAACGATCATCAGCACACACAGTAATAAAGAATCTCCCAAACGAGAACACGGCATTAAAACCCTGGCAAAGGTTCTAAATTCTTCTTTATTGTATCCAAACCTAGTAAAAATGTTCCTGGAGTTCCACTTTAAGGAACCTATTTGCAGGGACATTATGTTATTATAATTACCGGACAGGTTCACTTTAACAACATATATAGTATATTGTAAAGTGGTTGTTCTGATAACACATGGTATAAGCTGGAATTCCATACATGTTCTAGAGGCCAATGAGAGAAAATCCAAAATGTTATGGACATCCATGGAGCAGCACTTGTTATGTTATAGACATCATTGTAACTGCACTTGTTATGTTATAGATATCAGTGGAACAGCACTTGTTCTGGAGAGCAGTCACTTCCTGATGCGCCTCCGAGGACAGGAAGTGCAAGGAAAATCACTCTAATAGGGTCAGTAATCAAAACCTGACCAAAGGTCTAACCTTTCCCACTATCACTATTTTCACTGTTATCCATGACTGGTAGGAGCACTCATTCAGTGACAACATAATAAATCCAGATATGCTGTGTATCTCAGCTTTTGTTCCACAGACATAATGTAACATTCACTGTCTTTGATGTTGGCCATGTTCCCCATTGTTATTATCACTTGGCTTTAGACATAGAGAGAAACAAGAGACTCTGTCCCATAATCTCAAGTCATAACAAAAATTCTAAAGAAGTAACACATTACACACAATCTGTACTACACAAAGGCATGAAAGAAGCAGTCCATCTCAAACTGATATTTCAGTAATGGTTTGGCACTGGTGCATTGAATTCTAGTGTCTCTCTAAGCTTGTATCCTTGAAGATTCTAGTCAAGACATTCCCTGTAGTAGCAACTTCACCTCCTACCAAGGACAAAGTGTCACTGTCCTGTAGATGGATTCCCCAAAAAATGTTATACCACATTATAAGGAATCTTCTAGGTGGACGAAACATGTTTTAGTTATTAAAAATGGAGTCCAGCAAGATATTAGGAGATAAAATTAAGCAAGCTCATACAAATAGGAAACATTGGTGCAGGTTAGAGCTGGCAACTCTGTGTAGGGGTTGCTGGCCTCTGCCTGACAATGAGCCAGTCATGTACACTCCCCTTGCTGGCTGTTGGGTTGCATATCAGGCAGCAGTATAAGCGTTGCTGGCCCCTGCCTGACAATGAGCCAGTCATGTACACTCCCCTTGCTGGCTGTTGGGTTGCATATCAGGCAGCAGTATAAGGGTTGCTGGCTTCTGCCTGACAATGAGCCGGTCATGTACACTCCCCTTGCTGGCTGTTGGGTTGCATATCAGGCAGCAGTATAAGGGTTGCTGGCTTCTGCCTCACAATGAGCCGGTCATGTACACTCCCCTTGCTGGCTGTTGGGTTGCATATCAGGCAGCAGTATAAGGGTTGCTGGCTTCTGCCTCGCAATTAGCAAAGGGGTTGTCAGCCTGCCGTGTGCACTCCTTTCACTGGGCTGCCTATCAGTTCCTTCAGATAGGCAGCCCAGCAGTTTGTTGGAGCTCACATGGCAGGCTGACAACACTGCTGCCAGTTGTGAGGCTGTGGCTTAGTGTTGTCAGTCTGCAACAAGGAGCTGTTACTGACATGATCTCCATGTAAGAAAGATTCATGAAAAACTATTTGCTTAAAAATTCTGTATACATGAAGGCATGATGTCAAACATACTGAAAAACACATTTTACATATCGCATAGGAGATATACTGGGGTGTGAAACTTCTATTCTCTCTATATCTCCATTTGCAAAGCACGCCTACTAATGATGAAATTTTACATATCGGTCTGGATGTCACAACACTTCTTAAAGCTCAGTCTTTCAAAAACTGAGCTCATGTTATTTCCTCTCCTCTCGCACATGCACCTCCCACCAAATTTTCCATTGTGATTGATAGCACAACTGTTTCTCCCGCCCCCAATGCCAAAGTGTAATCCTGGACTCTGACCTCACCTTTCAGCCCCACATCCAATCACTATCCAAATCCTGCCGCCTTCACCTTTGTAACATCTCCAAAATACGCCCCTTCCTCACTGATGAAACCGCAAAGCTGCTCATCCACTCACTTGTTATCTCTCGTCTCGACTATTACAATTTCCTCCTCATTGGCTTACCTCTACACAGGCTCCTCCCCCCTTCAGTCTATCATGAATGCTGCTGCTAGACTCATCCACCCGCTCAGTGTCTGCAATCCCCCTCTGCCAATCCCTCAGCTGGCTTCCAATCACCCAAAAAAACGTTTAAAAATATTAACAACCACTTTCAAAGCCATCCACAACTCTGCCCCTGGCTATATGTCCAACCTCATCTCAAAGAATCACCCTAACCATCCTCTCAATTCCTTCTGCTCTCTAGCTCCCTCATCAACTCCTCCCATGCTTGTCTCCAGGACTTCTCTAGAGTCTCTCCCATCCTCTGAACTGCCTACCCCAACCTGGCTGGCTTTCTTCTTCTTCTCTGTCTACCTTTAGGTGATTCCTGAAAACTCATCTCTTCGGGGAAGCCTATCCCGCCTCAAACTAACCACTCAACCGTCACGTTCTCAAACAACTCATTCCCACACAGTTATCACCTCTTGTATTACTTGCCCTTTTAGATTGTAAGCTCCCATGGGCAGGGCCCTCCTAAGCATCTTGTATTGAATGTATTGTAATGCCCTCCTTATACTGTAAAGCGCTGTTTTATGATACTTCAGCATAACCAATGGTTATTTTGTAAAGCTTTGGAGACCTAAGGAAGGAAAGTATAACACCTGTGCCACAATCACACAGCTGTATCCTATGGTGCCAAATAGACCTCACAATAATGGAGAATGTGTGCAAAAGCCAAATAAACATACTTCTATGAACTCATGTATACATGTAACAAACATACATTATCCCCAGTTGTGTTCTGAGCAGGCGCACATGGATATAGAGACAATATTTCAGAATTGTAAATATTAGGGCTTACCTGTTCAACATCAGTGTTACGTGGCACAAAGTAGATAATATTTTGTGTTATCTGCTGGGAAAGCTGGAAGACTTCAAAGGTACAGAAGTGTTAAGGAAAGTAAAAACAGTTGTCGGAATCAAGAATAAAAATGGTTATCAGTCTATCATATGGATGTGCTTGAAACACATATTAGCTGCACAAACTATGAGCACAAAAAACATACGCTTTGCTACAATTTGACAAAGCCAATAGACGGTTTAAATTTCACTGAAGACATCCCATGTGAAACTGGTTCATAATGCTTAGGATCAGACTGAAATGTTGCTGGAGTAAAGTTTGGCAATTGTGTTACTAACATTAACAACTGGAAAATGAATAAAATCCATATAATTTAGAATGAAATAATATAAAATGTCTTTCCAGCAACTTTAAATATTTATAGAGCAATTGTTTCGGGTCAATTTAATTTTCTAAGTTTGTAAGTTTTTAAAGTTGTATTTGTGGGATTTTTTACTAGATGTAGATGATGGAACTGTGGACTGAACCATCTAAGAGATGACATGCCTCTGACTCAATCAGCTTGAGCTACTGAGGTTCGGTAAATAACGGCTTCTTTAGCAAGGATGGAATAGCAAACCAAGTGAAAAGGAGGCCAGAGCTCTACCTACTGACTGGAAGATTACAAAAAAATCATATGTAAAAGAAAAAAAAAAGAAAGAATCTACCAAGTATTTTTGGATTCGTTACTGAATTTTTAATTTCACACATTTGCCAGTTTTGTACTAAAGCAGCTAGGGTTAAGGTTCCATACTGTTCCTCGATTGTGGATATTGTTGTCACCCCATGCAGTGTTCTGTAGATTTTGACAGCTATTTTGCCATTATAGTCTGATTGCCAGTGATCACCAGTAGAACTATTATAGGCTTTGTGCCTATAATAGATTATTCACAAGGGCTGTGCGCAGTGTAAAAGGAAAATTTATAGAGGTGCACCGAAATAGAAATTTTAAAACCGAAATAAAAAAGAAATTTTCAGACCGAAAATGTTTTTTATTTTTTCAAATTTATTATTAATTTTTTTTTAATAAACTTTTACTTTTTTTATTTATTAATTCATTTTTTATTAAATATTTTTATTTTTTACTTTACCTTTAGGGGCTTCGGGGAAATATTAGGGGTCTAAACAGACCCTGATATTTCCCTTTTAAAATAGAAAAAGAGATTGAGGGCACAAAGTCCTCAATCTCTTTTTCTGTATCCCCTGTTATCAATGAACAGGAATCCTCTATGAGTGTTCCTGTTCATTGATAACTTGAGAACATTGTGTGTTTACTATAACCACAACTATGAATGAACAGGAGGTGATGTAGATCACTCCCATTCATTCATAATTGAGGATATAGTTAACATACCATGTCCTCAATTATCTACTAACACTCAGCGATCAGTGATCACTGAGTGTTTGTACCTTGCTCTCCTCTCTGACACACTGTCACAGGAGGCTGATTGAGCGGTGTAGGGAGGAGAGCTCTGCCTCCTGTGACAGCGCGGCTTGTCTCCGCCCACACACCGCCCTGCCGGACTGCGATAGGAGGCTCAGCGGTGTGGGAGGAGACACTGGCCGCTCACAGCGCTCGGCCGGCTATCACACTTTCTCTCCTCCCCGCTGGGACACAGAGCGGCGCCCAGCGGGCAGGAAAAGAAAGCATGGATGCGCCAATGTATCGGCAGGAAAATGGCACTTTCGACATTATGCCAAAAGTGCCATTTTCGGCCGATATGTTTCGGCGGCCGATAGATCGGTGCATCCCTAAAAATGTACATATATTATTCTAGACAATTGCAGACTTGGCTAATACAGTACATGCTACTATATGTAATAAATCAACTGCTGCATGCCCAAGTACTCTACTCTTGGCAACAGGTTCTCTTTCAGAAAAAAAAAAAAAAAAAGACAGCAGGATAAGGGAGGGAGCAGAGCGTGCAAAAAGCACAATACTATTATACAGTATAAACACTCCGTGGACACTCTATTGTTAATGCAAATAGCCAAATGGCAAATCATGTGGCTGCAACACAAAACAAAAAGAGGTTCATCTAATATAGTAATTTAGTGGTCACAGAGTGTTAGAGGTATATGTGTACATATAGGATATGCTTTAGATATTTTACATTATATAAAAGCATTCTGTAAAGGATATCCATCAAGATTCATCATGGTCTTGATGTCAAAGATGTCAGCACTGACATAGTCAGGACCTCCCCATGGTGGGCTGAGGAAAACAGCATCTGCCTTCAAGTCGGGAGCAACACACATGTAATCTGCACGGATGAACTCGATCTGATCCTCTACTCCATACACCTGAGCATTGTTGTAAGCCAGATCCAATTTTACAGGGTCAATATCCACAGCTATGACTGAAGAAACACAAAAGCATGTTATAGTAGTAATATAAACAGCTTAGTTACTGCATGTACAGTACATCTGTCAGTATTATGAAGATGTTCAGATGTACTATCTACAATCACAGATTACATATGCATATGTAGTAAAGCAGCTACCACCCCTGGTGAGCTGAAATATATTACATTCTTGTTTTAAGTTTCAGTAGGACCACAGCTGTGTCATTTAAAAAAAACACTTTGCCAATTTGTTCACCTTTGATAGCAAACATGCGACACTCATGCTAACTACTCTTCATTGTGTCCAACCTCCTATACCCAGTTCTTGTACCGCAACTGTGTACTTCCTCTTAATAAGGACAAGGGATCTACTGTCATCACTAATGATACATCAAGAAACTTTGGGAAACACTGGTTTACAGCATGTACCCAATGACTGGCTGGTAAAACCTGAGCTAATACAGGTGTCAAGAAAACGTAGGCAGCATAGCTGTGCTGTGCACATAATGACTTCATGGAAATGATTCAAATCAGACACCAGCAGTTTTTTGTTAAATGCTTTTGCCCGAGATTGGCCCTGCCCTGAAAAACTGAAAGTACCTAGACTTACAATATTTTGTTTTTTATATTTAATCAGCACTAATACATATGTTTAGTTTATTATTTTAAATCGCCACCAAAACAACTAAGCATTGTGCTAGTGAAGCTGCTTCTTATGTAGCCACATGTAGGGCACCAAGTCTGGTCACATTTAAGACTAAAACGTCCAGTAAAAGGACTTTCAAAAAAACTAATATTTACTTTCCGTCACATGAGTATCATTAATCTGCCAGGCGGCGTGATAAAAAAAGATCATGCTGCTGTTAGTGGTGAGATATCACATTCAGAAAGAAACCTCACATGTTTCTCTTTTCTATATATATTTTTTGCAATATTTAAAGAAATACAAGCCAACAATGGAAAAAAATGCCATTATTTTCTTTTTAACTGGTGCAGCCAAAAAATTTTTCCTTTTAAACCCTACAGGACATGCCTTAAAATAGCATTAAAAGACACACGACCACTATAACTGCCGAACTGGTAATGTAGATGAAGCGTCGCCACCTAGAGGTGCCTGCCCATATCTGCAGGTATCGCGCTGTAACGTGAATGCAGATTGCATTCAGGAAGTTGGAGATTTGGTCATCCTCCTTGGCCACCTTCCTTTCTGATGATCTGTAAAAGCAACCCATCACATGTCTGACCAAAGGGACTCAAGAGGCAGAAGTCTCATATTTGTATAATATAGCAAAACATCTGCTGTCACGTGCATTCCTGCATTCATTTACATTACCGGTTTAGCCACTTTATAACAGGTTAACATTGAATTACTGCTGTTTTCAGTATGCAGATGCATAAGGAAAGCACTTTCCCAAATCTAGTTGCACTGCTTGGGAGAAAAACAAAACATGGGAGCATGTTACCTCCACCCATCCTACAATTCATTTTCCAGCCAAAATATCCCATGACTTGCACACATTGGGGTTAGGCCAAGCTAAGATAACAGGGAATCATCATTCAAAATGCAAGCGCTTTCAGGGCCTCAAGGGGTCCTCTTCATCACGCTCAGAATGATGAAGGGGACCCCTTGAGGCCCCGAAAGTGCTTGCATTTTGAACGGCATATGTCATGAAAATGTTTTTTTGCTGAAACCCTTTGATTGGTGTGCTGGTGATATCCCTGTTATCCATATGCTGTTTACGGTGCCACCCGTGGTCACTACTAGCACCCGCCTGTACATATATGCCTGTACTCAATGAGCATTATGTTATACCAGATAAACAAAATAACTGGCTTTGCATGGTCTTTCAGTCCCTAAAGAATGCCCGATAGCTGGCACCCTCCGATGATGCATAGTTCCAACAAAGGAGATAAGAGCCCAAAGATGTGCACGGGCTGAGCCATGACGTAGGCCTGACAGACAAGATGGCCCTCTTGAGTAAGAGCCAAGAAGAATGGCAATGACAATGTGTCATTAGCACTAAATTTTGTCAACAGTAAAGAGAAATGTACATTAGGTTATTCAAAACTGGCCCGATTGGCAGTTCTGTGCCTTTTATGGAAGAACTCTGGGGTAAAATTTGTATTAACCCTTGCAGTGGGTCTTCCCCACTGGCCGGCTATGATAGCACTCCCTCCTGCCCGTCTCCTCTTCTACTGCAGCATTGTAATGTCCCTAATCGTCCTCACATCCTACTTCTACTGTGTATTGAACATCACGACTCAGGGACCTTACACCACTGCAGCCGAGGGTAGCGAGGCTCCAGGGACCGGTCTAAAACCAAGCGACTAGGAGGATCTAGTGAGTATCATTTTATTTATTTTTGACCCCAGGCAAAAAACAAGCACTTAACCCTTGCAGTGCGGGGACTTTTCCCCGGACTTCTTTTGTCTTCTGATATACAGAGATCTAGCACTCTCCTCAATAAAGCCCTCATGCTGTTTATGGAGCTACTTTCAAAGGATGTATTTTTTTCTGTTCAGCATTTCATTTTATCAAGTTCAGTAGCAACTGGGGATACAAGTACTGCTATACTCGCCTGGCTAGCAATAGATCGGACAGACAAAAAAAAAAGGAAAATGACAGCTGGAATCTGATTGGCTATGCTGGATAACATTACTGACTTATGGCATTTCTATATAACAGAACCTGGATTTCAGTCTAAAAAATAAAATTTAGCACGTTTGTTGGTTGTTATATATCAAGAGACAGACATATCTCAGGTGTCAGGTACTAAATGCATGTAAACAAAAAGCCTGGCTGTTACTGAGCGGTTTGTACAGCTTCCAAGAAAACTGGTTCCCTTGATTTGGCTGGAACCTCCACCTGGATTTGTTCACCTTAGGTCAGGGATGTCCAAACTCCAGCCCTCCAGCTGTGGTGAAACTACAAATCCCATGAAGCATCTCTCCCTGGGAGTTATGTCTGTGGCTGTGAGAATCTTGCAAAGCCTCATGGGATGCGTAGTTCCACCACAGCTGGAGGGCCGCAGTTTGGACATCCCTGCCTTGGGTTAAACAGCACCATTAAATGAACTGCACAATGTTCAACTACCATGATTCAAACTTTAATAAATGAAGGCTTACCTCTCATGCCTGCCAAAGCGAACTGGATGGCATTTCCACCCACACCGCAGAAAGCATCCACTACAACAGCATGGTTAATGCACTGGCGAACCCGTTGTGCGATGTGCTCTGCAATCTTCTCTGGGGTTACAGAGAACCAGCCTTCTACAAAGTATGGAACAGAAAACAACAATGTATTATACAGTGCACTCCATGCCCTGTGGCTTCATAGCCAACACAGAAGAAAACATACTAGATTACAGCTTTTATGTTTTAGAGTCATGAAAAGTCCAACTGCTTTCAAAATGAATTGGCAAAATATGTTTTTATTTCGTTTTACATGAAAATGGTGAAATAGTTTGTACATCTCAAGGAAACCATGGCGTGTTATTAGGGGGTTTAACTTCCACCAAGAAAGGCTGAAGCCCCAATGCTCTGTGGGGCTCCTGAGAACAGAACTGACCTGTTTGAGCTCGCTGTGAGTTTCCTGGTTTTTTTTCATGTGACACAGCTACACATTGTCATCTAAAAAGCCAGAGCTGCATTTTAGTTGGAGGTGAGATCCCCATTAAATTGTAATATTATATAATGCAGATCTAAAATGAAATAAAGTCCAAGTCCCTCATACCACTGACTACTACCCACAAGAATATCCGTGGAAGAAAACCTGTTGATTGGAATGGGTCCTCCCGGACGGACAGGACCACTGCTTCTGGGCATGTATGGATGCTGTATTAGGGCCTGTTCACACGACGTCCGTTTTCTGTGCTAACCTGATCCGTATGCTCCTGCACTCAAAATGGATCCCAATGGATCCCTATGTGTTTTATGGGCTACAGTTCTCACGTGTGCAGTCCGTTCAGCTTACCACAGAAAAATACTGCATGTCACATTTTGTAGGTCAGGAAACGGTCAGGAAACGCAAACGCGTCCAAAACGCACTGCACTGCAGCTAACATACTAACAGCGCCACTCCAGCAAAAAAAAAAAAACTTTTTTTTTTTTTTTTTTTACTGGAATGCATCAAAAACGTGGCCAAAACGCACTGCATCAGTAGCACTGTGTCTGCAGATCCGAACCTGATCAGGACTTGAAACTCATGTGAACAGGCCCTTAGTCAGAAACACTGACCCCATGCCTCTTCCTGAGAAGCCAACCAGTGGCTCAGTCTCACACAGAACCTGCTCTACCTGCAGCCAGTACCTGGATTGGTCAGAGAAGTAGTAGGCCAAAGATACCCAGAACATTCCAGCAATCAGGTAAGTATTTCAGGGTTTTCATGCTGATATGTTTGTAGGGGGCAGCAAATAGAGAGTAGGAAACAGTCATTGGAAAACATAATGGCAGCTAACACTTACAGGAATAATAGGAATCTATGACACAGACTAGTTTTGTCCTTGGCTTATTACACCCGAAAGTCCTCCACCTCCTAATAACACTGCGCAAACCTTTAGGCAGATTGTCTGCATTGTCATACAAGTGCAGCACAAACTACAACTACAAAATACCCAGAAACACGCTGAGGGGAATTCATCAAAACTGGAGAAGACACCCATGGCAACCAATCAGCTTTTCTCTACAGTTTGTTCAGTTAAGACTTGAAAATGAAAGAGAGAAGCTGATTGGTTATGGCACAGCTGCTCCAGTTTTGATCAATTCCCCTCAGAGCGTTAAAAAAAAAAACTGTCACGTGTTCCTAATACTGTGCTTAATTTACTGTATTTGTTCATGACAGAAAAAAATGATGACATGAAATGATCATTCTGTATAGTGTATGTCTTAACAAGAAGCATACTTACATTTTTAGCAATGATGAATAATGACAGTGTAATAGGGAGCAGGTATTAGTAAAGGGTGAATATTTAATATTGAGGGAAAAGACCTGCCAGATAGAAAACAAGTGTAGCTTTTATTGGTTCAATGCTTATGTACAGTGAGGGGAATTTATCAAAACTGGAGCAGACAAAATCTGGAGCAGCTGTGCATTGCAACCAATCAGCCTCTCTCTTTCATTTTCAAATCTTAACTGAACAACCTGAAGAGAGAATCTGATTGGTTGCCATGCACAGCTGCTCCACATTTTGACTGCTCCAATTTTAATAAATTCCCCTCTTTGTGTTCATTTTTAACGTGCTTAGGGTATGCTAATTGCCCATGTTTGTGCCTTCAAATTCAGCAGCTTACATTTGGGTTGCCAGCTGTTGCAAACATATCCATGTATTATAAATTTAAAACATTTAAAACATATTTACCAAGCACGGATAACTTTAATAAAGTTATACATTTCTCCAAACTGAATTCTGCCGCCAGTTACTGCCCCCGATAGCTCAACCACTTAATAATCCTAGTTTTTTGTTTTTTTTTAAAATGAAGATGTCTTACAGTATATGGGGCTCTTGATGCAATGAGCACATGGGTGATGCCACATGCCCGTAACCCAGTGTTTTGCCCACACACACAAAGGCAGGAGATGTGTTATGAAGTAATATCACACATGCCACATCTTACCTTCATCCAATTTGATCCCTTCATCAAAGCGAGAGAAGAGTCTGTAGCGCTGGGCCCAGTACTTGGCAAGGTGTGGATCAGCAGCAATTTCCGGTGGCAGGAAAGGCGTTTTCCTTGTAGTCTTTTTCTTCTTCTTCTTCTTCTTATTGCTCCTGTCTGCAGATGTCACCTGGGAGCCTACAAACACAGGTGGTTATATACATTAGGCAGTTTTACACATTTCAATAAACATCTATACAAATAAACCAACTACTCTGCCATAAAATGCAGCTAGGTTTTATTAAATGTTTTATATATGTAATGTTAGGGTTAGTTTGGCATTTTTGGGGTTTTTTTTTGTATTTTTTTTAGATGGCTTACTTTTTATTACATTTGTTTATGGTATATCTTTCTTGAAAAAAAAACAATGAGTAAAATAAATAATTTTTATGGCAATGACATTTTGCAATACTTTAGGGTGACCATACATGGTGGAACAGTCTTTTAGAGATAAGAATCAATGTGAAATGTTCCTGTACTTAGTCACCTCACTGTCACACTGTCAGCCTTCAACTTATTCTTATGTTTGCCAGTGAAAGGCTTCTGCTCGCAGAGATTTTTCAGCAACTTCAGGAGTCTCTGTGTGCTCCTACATTGGACTGACCTTCTCCTAAATTATATATTGAATTGCCCACCTATGTTTTTGAACCCCACAGAATTCAGGAAAACCCAGAGTGAATATGCACCAGTAAAGATGTCCATAGAAACTCCATACTGATAGAACCCTGACTAGAATACAGCTCAAGACTACAGTAAGGCAGCATTGCTGGACATCTCCCTGGAGATAATCCGATACTCTTGAGAAAGCAGCTGAAGGCCTAAGGTACTCAAATCAACCGAAAAATTGCTTTAGAAAAGCACTAATGATTTAATAAAGGTTAGGAGATAGAAAAAAATAACACCAACCATTTCTTTTCTCTTCAGTTTCAACCTGTAGATAGCTTGGAATGTCTAGAGAGACTAGCTGTCTTGCGGATTCTGAACTATTCCTTGATTGTTGCGGAGCAGAATTTTTATCTCCTGAACACCAGATGGCATTAGAGTACAATTTACAACTTGTCTCTTTGCCTGCCCTGGTGTCATCTAGCAGTTCAGACTGCAATTGAACATCTTGTAATTCAGATATTTCATTGACATCAGGATGGCTATGTTCCCCAGAGGCTTCTTGGAGGTCAGATTCCTTATGCATATCAGCAGGTGATTTATTATTCAAAGTGTCCAGCCCCTCAGAGTCAGAACTACTGAGAGAATCCTGTACATCGGGCAAATCTTCATGTATTTCATCCTCAACAGGTCCTTCTGCCTTCTTCAGGAATGTCTGCACCTGACAAATAAATGGTGGAAATAAAAACATACAAGTTTATACCAATGACTAGGGCCGCAAAACAACAACTAATCGCTTGTGAGAATAATTGGCAACTATTCTCATTATCGTTTAGTTGGTTGGGGGGGTGAGAGAGAGAGAGAAAGAGATCATTTTTTTAAATGCAACTAATCGAAAAAATAATCAGGCAACTAATCGATTATGAAAATAATCGTTAGCTGCAGCCCTATCAATGACCAGTTGTGACAATGACCATGTATTATTTTCTGTAACTGTTGTAAGAATGCAAGCTGAAGTCCACTATTATGGAAGAAAAAAAACCTCTCCAGGTCAGTTGTGTGCATTTCAAATATGTACAATGCTAATTTCACTGTAAATTCATACATGCTTCTGTTCTGCAAATACTGAGACAGTGTATTTCACCAACTTCCTCAAACTGAGGTAGGTGAGATTCAAGGAAGATGTGCCTTCTATATTTAGTCCCAATAAGGGTTAAAATAAAATCCAGAGCCAATAAAATAAGCAGGAAGTAAAATGTATGATTGTGTCTGGCATACAGTGTTTAGAAAACTCAGGAAGTGCTGCTATTAGGGATGCACCGATACTAGTATCGGTGCCGATACCGAGTATTTGGGCGAATACTTGTACTCGCCCAAATGCTCCGATGCCTAGCCCGATACTTCCGGTATCAGGAAGCCGGGCAACGAGTCATTACACGCTGCCTTGCTTCCTGATTGGCCGGGAAGCCGGCCCCATGCTCCCTCGTCACTTGTGACAAGAGAGCATGGAGCCGGCTTCCCAGCCAATCAGGAAGCCGTGCGTAGCGTCATTACACAGCGTCCGGCTTCCAGATTGGCCAGAAAAGCCGGCTCCATGCTTTCTCATCACCTAGTGACGAGAAGCATGGGGACGGCTTCCCTGCTAATCGGGAAGCCAGGTGGCGAGTCATTACACACCGCCCAGCTTCCTTAATGGGACTTCCAGTATCGGCGAGTACCGGGAAAAAAAATATCGGTATTCGATACTGAAAAAACGATATCGGTGCATCCCTAGCTGCTATAGATACAAGGAACCAATATGGGCTACAGACTGTAATAGAAAGGTATTTTTATTATTATTAAATGACAAAATAGCTTGTGTAGCATATATTGCACAGTTATTCCCATCTGTTTGCAATCTACCAGTTTATCGAACATTTGTACATAAAATGAGCCGTTACTGTGGAAAATGTCAGATCTTTGTTGGACTGGATATACAAATCCCTCTGTCTAGGGCCATACCTTTTTTAACGCTTTACATTTTGGAGATTTCACTTCTGAATCCTCTTGGAAAAATATATGGCTGTTCTTCACATTCCAATGCCTATGCATATCCAGGAAATGAGAGCGGTGCCTGACTCCTTTATCCAAGTAGCGGAGAGTCCGATGTTTGAAGTGTGGAATTCCCCCGTATCTATAACAGGTACATATGCAGTATATATATAAATATACAAAGACACAAAGATGTACAGCTATATAGAATGCAAACTCAAATGATGTATGGAGGTATGAGTATTCCAGTATCTTATGACATTATAACAATCAAGCCCTTTCACAGCCATTCTTCAGGATTGTATTCACTCTTTCTCTGGGCAAGGCACATCAATAAAAAGCCTTTAAAGACTAACTCCAGCCAAAATGGTTTTCTTATACAGTTTGGAAAGATTTCCCTTCAGTTACTGTTCTGTCTGACATCGCAACAAATAGAAATTCAAAATACTAACCTACTAAGAGGGACACATGATTGGACAAAGATGTGTGTCACTAGTAACGGCAAGGCTTTGCCACCCATTGCTGACCTGAGTACATATAAATTGGCAGTACCATAAGTAACCTCTTTTTAGGCAACTTTTATTCAATTTTATTATTTTTTCGATCAAATACTTTTTTAAACAATGGCTTTAAGTGTCATCTGGGTCGTAACTTCAGACCCTTCCTTCTGTATGGAAGACAGATGTCTTACACAAAAACTTTGGAGCTGATTGAATCAGATATATGTCCTCGATGCTGCTATACTAACTAGCTTCCTGCAGGGTACACATTCCTACTGACACCTGCAAACACTCCTTAAAATTAAAGTAGTATTAAACACTCCGGGGGGAATTTGTCATTTCCATTTACCTATACATGCATACGTCCTTTACCTATACATGCATACGTCTGTCCTTTACCTATACATGTATACTTCTGTCCTTTACCTATACATGCATACGTCTGTCCTTTACCTATACATGTATACTTCTGTCCTTTACCTATACATGCATACGTCTGTCCTTTACCTATACATGCATACTTCTGTCCTTTACCTATACATGCATATGTCTGTCCTATATCTATACATGCATACTTCTGTCCTTTACCCATGCATACTTCTGTCCTATATCTATACATGCATACTTCTGTCCTTTACCCATGCATACTTCTGTCCTATATCTATACATGCATTCTTCTGTCCTATATCTATACATGCATTCTTCTGTCCTATATCTATACATGCATTCTTCTGTCCTATATCTATGCATACTTCTGTCCTTTACCCATGCATACTTCTGTCCTTTACCCATGCCTACTTCTGTCCTTTACCCATGCATACTTCTGTCCTTTACCCATGCATACTTCTGTCCTTTACCCATGCATACTTCTATCCTTCACCCCTGCATACTTCTATCCTTCACACCTGCATACTTCTGACCTTTACCTATACATGCATACTTCTGTCCTTCACCCTATGCATACTTATTTCTGTCCTTCACCTATACATCCCTCCTTCTGTCCTTCACCTATGCATACTTACTTCTGTCTTCACCTATACATAATTACTTGTGTCTTTCACCTCTGCATACTTACTTCTGTCCTTTACCATGCTTCAGCCCAAGGATAGTGGAGGATTCAGCAAACACTTCTGATGGGTTCTCCTCTGCATCCAGTTCGTGACTATAAAAAAACCCACATATTCCACTTATTAATGCAAAAGAAAAAGCTAAAGACAGCCTGCACGAAAAAAAGCAAGCACATTACAGACCAGATTTCTGGTTGGGCAAATGTTATACTCGCCTCCTCTTGATTTTTGCTTGTTTGCACTCTGGAGGTTCATCTTCACCCTCATCCTCACTGATTTTCACTTGCCCTTTTTGTACAGTTTTCTCTGGACTCAGTTGTGACACTTATTTATATATAAAAAAAAAATTGGAATAATAAATCAAAATCTTCCAAGACTGCATTAAAAGGAGAACTATAAGGTGAGTGATTTTCACTCAACCTCATAGTTTGAGCCGACCTGTGACAATCAAACTGTCACGCGTCCGCTCAATAGATCGGGAAATGAGCGAACACATACCATCGCTCACTCACTTCTCGATCATTTCCCTGCAGTGAGCCGTGACTGTCACTCACGGCTCGCTGTAGGGATTCCCCCCCCTCCCCGATCTCATGCTCCAGCGCTGACTGGCAGAGCGGACGGGGGGTGGGAGCGGGTACAGCTGGCTCTGCCTCTGGATAGGCAGAGCCAGCTGTCACTCACGCTGCTGGGTGGATCTCGACAGTAATGTAGGGATCCGTCCCGGCTGTGGCGGTCTCAGTATAACGCGAGCTGTTGCTCACGATATACTGAGCTTTGGGTCACAGGAGGACGCTAGTATATGTCGTCCCGTGACCCTTAGGAGAACTATGGGGGAAAACACTTACCCCATAGCTCTCCTTTAAAGAATACAATTTGGATACAGAAATTTCAGGTTGTGTGCTAGATACACAGTGCGATCATACAAACTGGATTCTCAAAATATGAATTGGACACATTCTGTCTCTCTTGTTCTCTCATTCTCATACAGGGTTCCACTCTCTCCCCCTCTCAATACAAGGTTCTATGGTGAAGGAGTATCAAGGGCTCTTGCACCAAGGAATCCTCTATGGAAACATTGACCACCGGCCAAAGAGACTGAGTGCCACTACCCCCAGCCTCCCAATCTGCAATGCATTCCTCTCTACTGGTCAGCTTTGGAGCATGTTATAGCAGATGCAGATTCCCAGGTTTGATGTATCTCAGGTATGTGCAAGCATTTGTAAACTGGATATCGACACGCAGGTCACTGAGTGCTTTATCATGCAGTATTTCTGTTTGGCTCAGCGACCTCAAGAAACAACAGAATTTGAAACTATTAGTATATATTAAAAAAAATCATACAGAAAATCTCTGTCATATAACTATTTTTTTCCTGTACATCTGTGTATTACTCTCAGAAAACATTCAATTAATTGAACTATTAATATTTACAGAATACAATCCATCAGAGATTGTGCTTACCAACAAATTGTCAGGCCTGCTGGAAAACAGGAGCCCAGCAGTTAATCACCACAAGCTTTCTTTCCCATTTATAAATTGCTTTAATGAAAAAGGTGCTAAGGCCATCTCCTGTTATATATTGGCAATAAATTAGGCATTAGTAAAATCAATAAGGGCTAATTTTACAGACCTGGCTGGCTGGATGCAGAACGTCCGGATGGTGCATCCGTCTCCCCAGAACCACCATCTCTGCGATCACAGTGATCAGGATCACAAGGACAATGCGTTTCAAGGCTCTCTGTGTCCTTTGCCTGATGACTCTCATAAATTACACTTAAAGGTTTACAGCTCTGCTCGGTTTCCTTTATATTAAGATTTATATTCTCCAGTCTGTTTACAACACCATCACATAAATGATCAATGTCTTCCTTCAGAGCTGGTGACAACTGCAGAGAGCAGTTTGGAAATTCTGCCTTTTCTACATCGGCTGCATGTTTATCGGCAGAGTCGCCTGGAGAGTCAAATGTCCATCCTTGCTGTGTCCAGTAGTGAAACTGCTCATAATAATGCCAGTAGGATTCATGATAATGTTTATTCCACTCTTCTGTCGTCTCTGGAGAATTCCAGGGTTCAGAGTTATCCTGGCTGATCTCTGGGTGCTTTACAACCCAATCCTGCCACAGCAGCCCTTGTCCATACTGGTTCCAGTAATCTTCCCAAATCTTCTGAATGGCGGGATCTACAGATGGGAGTTTCAGAGTGTCTGCACTTTCAGAGACTGTTAAAGGGCTTTCAACCTCTTCAGATGGATTAGGATGTTCACTAGGATCCTCTTTATTATCAATATCTTGTGCCAGCTCTACCACAGCTTCTGTAGAGCTCTCATTTTTACATTGCTGGGGCTTATTTTGTATCTTCCTTCTTTTTTTGAGTTCCTTCACAGAATGACCTGGTAGCTGAAATTAGACAGTAATTATCTTTTTTTTAAATGAAATAAATAGTAAATAACAATGATTCCTAGTTACTTATGTCTATATACCTAGCAGATCATTTTCTGATGGGCCCCTGAATCCAACAGTCAATATACCTGCATATCGGGTATATATACAATATACCCGATATGCAGGGCTTGAAACATTTTAGGGTGTCTCACCAGTCAGTCAAAAACGTCACCAGTCAGCATGACCAGACTATAGCCTTGCAATTTATATTACGGTAACGGTTTTTGGGGACAGATAAGAGCTTTCTTTTTGGTGGTATATAAAATCACCACGGGGAAGGGGGGGGGGTTATTTTTTACTATACAATGAAAAAAGTACAGTAAAATTAAAAAAACTAACATTTTCCCTAAGTTATGTTATAAAACATCTATTCTTACCCATATTTTTGGTAAAACATAAAAGATGGGGGTCATATGCAGTCATAAATATTTCAAGTGCATAGCTTTTTGCCTAAGTCTAACGTATGTTCATTTTATTCTTTGCTTGTTAATTCACTGTAGGAAATTGAGCCGGTCACAGACACCTATTCTGATTCAGTGTGTTCCAGACAATTAACTAGCCACTACAAACAATGTTATTCCATTCAGCACTGAGGGCCGGCTCACACCATAAACAGTGCATTCCAGAGCAGTTAGCTGTTGATCCCGGCCAGTTTCCCGTGTTCAGGGGCGGGAGGGGGCGTTGCAGTGCATTGAAGTCAACGGCACCGCAGCCACCTTGCCCACCCGCAGTGTGATCGCCCACACCAGAAGGCATGGCGCATCAGTGTAAGGCCAGTTTAATGACGATAATTATTAGTATCACCTACAAACCTGGCACCGAGTCAAGCCTCATACAAACTTTAAGTAGAATGAATCAACAGAGAGGTTTCTGGAACTGGGGCCTACAAGGTTATTAATTATTTTTTATGCTGTTAAATAAAAAACGAAAAAACTGGAGACCAATAGATTTTTTAAAACATTTTAATACTGACTTTCTCAACACCAAAAATAGTAAGTTGCAAGCTAGATCTCACATGCCTCTGGTTTAGATCATTTTGCCATTATTAACTTTTCCATTTTTCAATCTTCAAACATATATAACACTAATAAATGAACTCCAAAACAAAAACACACACACACACATATCTCACTTTAACATCTGACAACCCAAAACTTTAAGGGAAAGCAGAAGATCTTACTAAAAAGTTCTTCTCATATGATGATCCACCAAACTTTACTGGAAGGCCCATTTGTAACATAAGTTCAGCCTCAGAGTCCAGCTCTTCTTCTAGAACAGGAACTTTGCAAGTTTCAGATGGTGCTGGTAAACCTGGAGAATCCTCCTCTTCATCCTCTTCTTCACCTTCCTCATAATCTGTAAGTAGGTCAATACATTTTAATAATCTTTATGAAAAGGTCTCCAATTGTTAATGTGGTTTTATCTTCCTTGGATCTTGTGCATTAGGGTGTCTAAAAGAAGAACTTTAAAGAGGAACTGTAGGAATCTAAAAAATAAACCCAGTGGGGCTAACTCTGCACTGCAAGGGTTAACTGCTCGTTTTGGTCTAGAGGCTCACAATAAAAAAAATACTCACCTGATCCTCAATGCCAGCTGGCTGATAGAACGGTCCCGCAGCCTCTTTCCCCTCCAGGCTACAGCAGTCTAAGCCCCGCTGACGTCATCATTTCTAATGAAGGTCCAATAGAGCTGAGGACGCCGAAGGACATTGCACAGTTGGAGTGAAGGGGAGAGGTGAGCACTCACCGCCACAGGACCAGGGGATCAGGTGAGTAACCGGCAAGCGGAAACAAAGGTTCTGAGGAAGGATGCGTGTCCTCTGAAACGCGTAAACCGTGGAGGGCTTGCAGCCTGCTGGCTGAGGCTTTTATGAATCATCCAAGTTTTCGTTCACCTTTGTAACTACATGCCTGCTAATCTCATGTGCTTGCGAGTATGGTCTTAGCTGATTTTACCGATTAATTAAACTGTTTTACACGATGGAGGCGCTCCTTTTTTATTTTTGTTTCAGCTTGCCGGTCAGGTGAGTATATCTACTGTATTCCCGACCCCTAGAACAAAATTAGTCCTTAGCCCTTGCAGTGTGGGGGTAGCCCCACTGTAAGGGTTACTATTTTAGATTCCTGGAGTTCCTCTAACAACTAATGACATGACCACTTTTATTTTTTACCCTGCTTAAAGGAAATCTGTACTGAGAAAAAAATATGGGGGTATCATTGCAGACCTCCCCTAACAATACTGGTTGTATGGATATCATAATTATCCAATGATTTTAATACTGTATGTTATAGATGCAGAACAAGCATGCATATCAAGCACGTCACTTGCTGTATACTTATTCAGGTCTGTTACTTGAAGTAATGAAGTCAGAAAAATGTTGGCAATTAGCATTTTCAGAAGGGTCATCAATGGCAGCCTACATATTTTACTCAGCACAGGCATCCTTTAGGGGAAAAGGGGGATATGCTATATACAAGAGACATGGTGGCTCTGCAATTATTACTATAGCCATTCAGCATTTTGGTTGCTTTCAGTAAGCAATATGCTACCTGCATGAAGTATTTATATCCTACCAGTGTCTGGATTTGTTTTCCTGATTCCTTCCCCAATCTAAATGTACACAGGCAGACATACGTTCACCCAACAGTGCAGTCTAAGCACATCACTGACAAGTAAACTATACTGTAAGCTCACTGGCCAGGTAGCAACTGATGTGAATGGCTCAAGTTCAATGCGAGAATACACTAAGCTTTCCTTAAACACGTTCATACATGCAACCCAATTATCTGTGTATCATCATGATTTGATGTCTTTAGCCTTACATGGTAGATTCCCCCTCTTATTTGTCCTAGGGACAACTGTCACTGGGATAGAAGGTGATGGTGAATCCAAACAGAAAATAGAAATCTGTTCTGGTGACAAGTAATAGGAGATTTCCCCTTTATTTTGCAGAGACTCCCTCTTCCTGCAGTACCTTTGTGAGAGGAAGTGAAATCTCTCCAACTGGATATAGACAGCATATAAAAACTAGATGGTGGTTGTAACCATTCACTACTTGAACAAACCCATGAATAAAAAAAAAAAATGATTTGCCCATGGAAACACTTTGAAGTAAAATCATGCCCACAATAACCCCAATCATCCCCAACAGTCCAAATGTTATACTGTTCTATAAAATATTTTCTGTAATTAGGAATGCAGTGTGTACAGAACATACAAGGTAAACCTTAATTTTCACTGTTCATGAATTTAAAATAGCACTGCCAAGATACCGCAACATTATATTCAAGATATTTAAGCATTCTGTGCAAACAGTCTGCATAAGAAATGAGCAGCTGAATCCTAAACCAACAGACCTGGAGGCATTTCTCAATGTGCAAGTGACAGACTGAGTAGTTTAAATCATGGAGGGAACTCATTTAAAAGGCAGTGGGACATTGGCTTCCATGAGAATAAGTGACACCTGGGTGGTCTTATGAGTTTTCAGCAGTGGAAAGAAGAACTAGAATTAAAGATTTTATCCTTCAAAGCAGGCTACTGTTTGCCTTTATAAGGGAGACATTTTATCACGGATTTAAAACGGTCTTCTTATACATCATAAGTCACAGGAGAGAGAAATGGTAGGTCTACCTGCATATTCTTGTACAAATTAAGGTTGGGGTTGTTGCTATTTTTTTCATGGCACACTGACACACACACATGAAAATCAGATGGTCCATTAAAAGGAATTAAAGCAGCTATAAGCAATCAATAGAGAAAATAGAAATGTGATAAAGCAGGTGCAGTCCTTCACCAATTAGATTCTACATAAAGATAGAACAAAACTGAACTTGCAGTCTTTTCCCTTCCCTTATATGAGATTATAATAAAAGCAGTGATGCAAACTACAACTCCTCATGCAGGAAAGAAGAAGAGAAGGGTTTTCAAACAGAGAATTTAGCCCAACCCCTCTATGGTTAAAGCAGACCTTTACCCTCTTTTACTAAAAATCACATCAGCATGCAGTGCTGCATGCCGATTTAAAATCATCTTACATTCATTAATTAAACAAACTTGTTTTTCATTTACTTACAAATAGAGTTCATCTACTTCCTGGTCCAGTTCGGGCACAAATTATATAAGTGCCAAAGCGTTGCATCCTGAGAAGGTTACACCGGCAGAGCATTGCTGGGTAATATCATCTGTAATCTCACAAGATCTCAGGGAAAGGCATTTTCCTCCCCTGAGATAAGGTGCATGGTCACATGACCTAGTCACATGTCTAGTCACATGTGCCAAAGTTCAAGGAAGTAAATGGAGGGCTAGTAATCTGCCCTTAGTTAACATGGCCACTGTCAGAAGACAGGGAAAGAAAAGAGAAATATGAAAAGAATACAAAGCCGGCAATTATCTAGACGTATGTGTTTGTAGATTGCCATTGCTAAACATTCCTAAAGGTGTGTTTGTTGTTATTTTAAAGATATGGGTAAAGGTCCACTTTAATGGAGGTTTAATATGGCTATTCCATTTCTTCCAATCAATGTTGGTACTGTAACAAGCCTGACTAATATGTCATTCAGCTGCAACAGTCAATCATTGCTAACAGTTAAAAAAGCATTTAGCTGAACTGCGGGAGGAATTACTGAACTTGCAAACATAAAAAAAAAAAAAAAGATTTAAAATATAATACAGCTCAAAGTGCACCTGTAGCAGTAAAGGGAAAAAAAACCATAAGCTACATTTGTTTGTATTATGTGATTGTGAAACACTCCGTATTCAAATAACGACTTTTCAGTAGTCACTATTTGCATATAGCCCTCCTCCAACCCCCCACATTGTAAAGTTCAGGCAAGGTATTACAAAGTGGTATGTGGGAAGAGGTGGGGGCTTAATTTACACACTTACATCCTACAACTGAATGGTTGCGCAAATGTGTTACGTTTACAGTTATGTACTATTTTATTATATACCTTTTATTTTTTCTACAGAAAACCTGTAGTCAAAGCCTTTGTAAAATGGCTCGCAAATGAACCCTCTACATACCTGCAGAGCTTAATTTTTCTCCACCGGTCATCCGAACACCTACTAAAACCGTAGTGTGAAAAGTGTACAAATTCACAGTCTTCTAGGGGTAAGTCCATATATGCCAAAAAAGAGCACTGTAGCTTACCCACCACCAAGGATTGGGGTCTATGTGCAGTTACATGGAGGTTACTGCTACTGCAATCCACAGCCAATATGCCAAAGTCATTTTAACTAAAGGTACAATTTAAAATGACCAAACTGGT